AGCATCTTCTGAGAATCTGGAAGTTGGGTAAAAAGCCACTCCTTGGTGCAGTTTGAGCATTCAGCACACTTCGCGATCAAAGCAAACCGGTTCTGCACGGTAGATGGCGTCAGCGCCTTGTGTAGCAAGGTTTTCTGCTGAAGCCATCTTTTCGCACATTCCCGAACACTGCTGTCGGCAGGCAACTGGACTTCCTCACAGTCTTCCCAAGGCTTGCGCTTCCTGCCACGTGCGCCCATGGCGGCGACAGCTCGAAGGCTTGAAAAGCAACCCGCTGCTAGATCTTGTGCTGTCAAAAGCATGCTCCCTTGAGACATCAAAAATCTGGCAACCAATCTGGCAAGGGTCCCCTTGAACATGTGATGCACCCTGAGACATCAAAAACGGCCCCTGAGGCGCCATGAGCCAGAGGCCTTCAATGGAATTCGCGTGGCCTCTCTTGGACCCAGAAAACGGGAACAAATTGCTCCAGTGCAAATGCTTCTGAGGATTCCGAAAATAAGCTCTGGGGTGGTTCGGATCAGCTTTCACGGAGGGCTCCGCAAGGATCAGCGCATCTCTCCCGCGTTTAGGCAGGTACGGAAGAGACAAGCGGTAATGCGGTTATCCAAGCAACATTATGAGTCAAAGGGTCGGGTTAGAGGTGAATATTGGGGACATTGCTGATTTTGTTGCATCGCTCTAGCAATCAAGAAACTGACCTCCTGAAGATTATCTTGTCATCCAATCTCTTAGACTAGGAAATGGGCCTTGAACGAGGATTAACCAACAGCCCAGTTGCCTAGTGAATGCCACATTTGCTCTTGTTTGGATATCCACCAACAAACAAGCAGGTTCATTGGCAGCAGGGGAACTCTCCGACCTTAGGAAGAACTTGACAAAGGGGATCCCTGCTTTGGTTTATCCTAACCTCATCAGTATAGGGGGCCTTAGGTTAAGTTGCTGAGAAATAGATGGGCAAGCCACTGGTTTAAATTGGCTTTATGCCCCATGTACCAGGGAAACCCATCTATTTTACCAAAAGGACACCTATGCTCATGAGTGCCATGGATGGTAACTTAAATGCTGCCCAAAGGAGATATCATGCATCATATGTCGGGGCAGTGGAGCTCGGATGAAGATGATGATGATGATGATGAGGATTGTGATGAGGATGATGATGATGATGAGGATGATGATGAGGATGATGATGAAGATGATGAGGATGAGGATGAGGATGAGGATAATGATGATGATGGATGAGGATGATGATGAGGATGAGGGTGATGATGATGATGATGATGATGATGGTGATGGATGATGATGAGGATGATGATGATGATGGATGAGGATGATGATGGGGATGAGGGTGATGATGATGGTGAAGGATGAGTATGATGATGACCATGGGTGGGGATGATGATGGGGATGATGAGGATGATGGATAAGGATGGATGATGGATGATGATGATGATGATGATGGTGATGGATGATGATGAGGATGATGATTATGATGGATGAGGATGATGGGGATGAGGGTGACGATGATGGTGATGAGGATGAGTATGATGATGACCATGGGATGATGGGGATGATGATAATGATGAATGATGAGGAGGATGATGATGATGCTGAGGATGGGATGAGGATGATGATGAGGATGATGATGATGATAATGATGATGAGGATGAGAATTATGATGAGGTTGATGATGATGATGAAAATGAAAATTATTATTATGATGATGATGGTGGTGATGGATGAGGATGATGATGAAGATGAAGAGGATGATGGAAGAGGATGATGATGATGATGATGATGATGATGATGGTGGTGATGGATGAGGATGATGATGAAGATGAAGAGGATGATGGAAGAGGATGATAATAATGATGAGGATGAGGAGGATGAGTATGATGATGATGATGATGGATGAGGATGATGATGATGAGGACGAGGATGAGGAGGAGGATGAGGATGCGGATGATGATGAGGATGAGGATGAGGATGCAGATGTTGATGAGGATGATGACAAAATGAGGATGGTGATGATGATGAGGATGATGATGATGAGGATGATGATGATGATGAGGATGATGGTGATGGAGGATGATGAGGATGATGAGGATGATGAATGATGAGGGTGATGATGAGGATGATGATGAGGATGATGAGGATGATGATGAGGATGGTGATGATGATGAGGATGATGATGATGATGAGGAGGATGAGGATGAGGATGATGAGGATGATGGATGAGGCTGAGGATGATGGATGATGATGATGATCATGATGATGATGATGGTGGTGGTGGTGATGGATAATGATGAGGATGATGGATGATGATGATGATGGTGAGGATGATGAGGATGATGAGGATGAGGATTATGATGAGGATGATGATGATGATGAGGATGCTGATGAGGAGGAGGATGATGATGATGCAGATGATGAGAATGAGGATGATGAGGATAATGATGATGATGACGATGATGAGGATGAGGACTATGATGAGGATGATGATGATGATGAAGATGATGATGATGATGATGGATGAGGATGATGATGATGATAATGAGGGTGATGATGATGATGATGAGGATGAGTATGATGATGAGAATGGATGGGGATGATGATGATGAGGAAGAGGATGATGAGGATGATGGATGATGATGATGATGATGATGATGATGATGATGATGGTGGTGGTGGTGGTGGTGGTGGGTGATGGATGATGATGAGGATGATGGATGATGAGGGTGATGATGAGGATGATGATGAGGATGATGAGGACGATGATGAGGATGGTGAGGATGATGAGCATGATGAGCATGATGAGGAGGATGAGGATGAGGATGATGAGGATGATGGATGAGGATGATGATGATGAGGATGAGGATGATGATGGATGAGGATGATGATGATGATGGTGATGGATGAGGATGAAGATGATGAGCATGATGGAAAAGGATGATGAGGATGATGAGGATGAGGATTATGATGAGGATGATGATGATGATGAGGATGCTGATGAGGAGGAGGATGATGATGATGAAGATGATGAGAATGATGATGATGAGGATAATGATGATGATGATGAGAGGATGATGAGGATGAGGGTTATGATGAGGATGATGATGATGAGGAGGATGAGGATGAGGATGATGATGATGATGAATGAGGATGATGATAATGATGGTGATGGATGAGGATGAAGATGATGAGCATGATGGAAAAGGATGATGAGGATGATGAGGATGAGGATTATGATGATGAGGATGATGATGATGATGAGGATGCTGATGAGGAGCATGATGATGATGAGGATAATGATGAGGATGGTGATGATGATGATGAGGATGCTGATGATGATGATGAAGATGATGAGAATGAGGACGAGGATGCAGATGATGATGATGCGGATGAGGATTATGATGAGGCTGATGATGATGATGATGGATGAGGATGATGATGAGGATGAGGGTGATGATGATGATGATGATAAGGATAAGTATGATGATGACCATGGATGGGGATGATGATGATGAGGAAGAGGATGATGAGGATGATGGATGATGGTGATGGTGATGATGATGATGATGGTGATGGATGATGATGAGGATGATGAGGATGATGATGATGAGGATGATGATGAGGATGATGATGAGGATGATGAGGATGATGATGAGGATGGTGATGATGATAAGGATGATGAGGATGATGAGGATGATGAGGATGAGGGTTATGATGAGGATGATGATGATGAGGAGGATGAGGAGGATGAGGATGATGATGATGAGGATGAAGGATGAGGATGAGGATGATGATGATGAGGATGATGATGGATGAGGATGATGATGGTGATGGATGAGGATGAAGATGATGAGCATGATGGAAAAGGATGATGAGGATGATGAGGATGAGGATTATGATGAGGATGATGATGACGAGGATGCTGATGAGGAGGATGATGATGATGATGAGGAGGATGATGATGATGAGGATGCTGATGATGATGAAGATGATGAGAATGAGGATGATGAGGATAATGATGATGATGATGATGATGATGATGATGATGAAGCTGATGATGATGATGGATGAGGATGAGGCTGAGGATGAGGGTGATGATGATGATGATGATGATGATAAGGATGATGATGATGATGAGGATGATAATGAAGATGAAGATGATGATGATGATGGATGATGATGATGATGATGATGATGGTGGTGATGGATGATGATGAGGATGATAAGGATGATGAATGATGAGGGTGATGATGAGGATGATGATGAGGATGATGAGGACGATGATGAGTATGGTGAGGATGATGAGCATGATGAGGATGATGAGGAGGATGAGGATGATGATGATGATGATGAAGATGATGATGAAGATGAAGATGATGAGGATGATGATGATGATGATGAGGATGATGATGAGGATGATGATGATGATGATGATGAGGATGATGATGATGAGGATGAGGATGATGATGACGATGATGATGGAGCTCACCACAAGGTCCCACATGCAATGGAAAAGAATTAAATCAGAAGTTAATTCCTGGAATGAGTCTTCCAGCCACCAAGGGGATTACCTCTAGAGTTAATCCCAAGGTCCCAAATGCAAGGGCCAAGAATTAAATCCGAAGTTAATTCCTGGAATGGAAGGTCCACGGAACCTGAAACTCAAAAGCATTAACTTGGGAGTTAATCTTTTCTAACTTTTGAATTCACTCTGTTTCTTTAGTCCTTGGCAGAGCCAACTTCCACAGCTTCCAACAACTTGCGCCTTAGAAGGCGGCAGAGCGGAAGCCTGGCGGAAGGTTTTGCGGAAAGGGCCCGTATGTCCATGCAAGAATTTCTGTGAAAGTTAACCACCACTCCCCTGGATGTTTTGTGACCGTCAGAGGTGTCAGGTGTGAGACACTTGCAAGGATGCTGCTTCTGCGGGCTGGCGTGCCTTGGCCCTGGATGACAGCCATGTTACATGCTCTAGAGGTGTTTCATGGTGTTTCCAGAGTGACAGATCTGACACGAGTGCGCTTGCCGTATTCCTGGTTGACTGCTTTTTTTCAGCTCTTGGCCCTTGCATCTCTGCATGATTTCCACGGTAGCCTGTTAGGTTACGGCGTTGCAGTGTTTGTGGCAAACAGAGAGCATGGACCATGCAGGTTGGAGATGTCATCGTTGAGGTGAATGGTAAGTCAGCGCGGTCCTCAGAACTGCGCGAGGAGACTCAAACGTTCAGACTGCTGCTTCGCGCAAAACCTTTGGATCCAACTTGCTCGGCAGTGCTTGGCTGCGCTGCTATGCCAATACACAATGAAGCAGTTTTCATGGGAATCAACCCTGCCCAGCTGATTTTTAGCACCTTCTCTTTTTTTACCAACCCATGCGTCCTTCCTCGTTTTTTGCCAGAGACTTGAGGCCTTCATCCCATGAAAAGCTGAATTCATGTTCGATTGTTCGTACATTCAGCACCTGAACTCCGCAATCTAGTTGACTCGCAGCAGTGAGGTGGCCACGGTATTGCTTAAGTCTTGCCCGCGATTGGTGCGAGTAGTTCAAGGGAGCGCAGCTCCAAGAGAGCAATGCCTGAGACTGAAAATGGAAGGAGCAACTCGAGACAAGATGCATGTGCTCGCGAGGTGAAGGACAATGGCGCTCTCAAGGCTTGGGGGCACGGGACAGCTAGTTGTGCCAAGCGAACCAGTGTGAGGCTGCCGTTGCAGAAGCACTGAGCCAACACCAGTCGTCCGGTGCTGCCATGCGATTCCGTGTGCGATTCTCAGCAGCTCTTCCCAGGAGGGCACGCATGCAGGGCGTGATTCACTAGCAACAAACTCTGCAGCTCTCAAATACCAGGTACGCCGGCAAAGAGTGGATGAAGATACGTAGAAACCCTACTTGATTTGATTATTGATTTGGTAGAAGCTTGCAGCTCAGCACATGAGATGATTGCAGTGTGCCATTGCCTCGCGCATGCGCGCTCAGCATCCAATGCACAGTTCTTGTGTGCAAAGGTCATGCGGCATGATTCGCATGACGCCGGGCACAGGTGGCGAACTCACGGTCAGTGACTCGAATTCGGCAACCGGAAAAAAAAGGAACATGGACTGTCCACATGCACACAAGCGCCTAGATGTCCATGCTGGACCTGACTCAGAGTTTGCTGGGGACCTTCCGGGCGTGGGACCCAGCTTCAACAGAAACTGATGATTCGCAGTAAGCGGCTTGGTACGGGATCTTATTCCGGGATTTTCTTGCAGGTTGTTCTCTTCATGGAGGGTACGATCAAGGCACGCCGGGCAACCGGCGAGAGTTGTGTCTGCTAGTGCATGAGCCGGCTTCATTTTGCGTTATGATTGGTTTGCAAGGATGATTGAGAACATTAAGCTTTGTTGCCCAATGCAAAGCAGGCCATCATTTTGGATGTACGTTGTGATGCAATCACGCACTCTGGTCAGAAGCCAAGGCTCCTCAGTCAAACCTTTCTGCTAAAGCAGTGAGGGTGGGTGTCTCAGTGCAGTACAGGCCGGCAGTTGTCCGCACACGAGTCTATGATGGACTTTCAAGCTGAGGCGCTGATGGAGACAGGTCTGGCTTTCAAGGCACGGACGGGGTTTGCAGCTAGTCGGTGCCAAGATCTGCTTTGGGCTCGTGCGACAGATTTCACATCTTGCTGCGAGTTCTTGCTTCACGGGGCAGTGATGACATCTGGAAGTGCCTGAGGCTATTGACTGTGAGGATGCAAAGTACAATCCTGGTGTGAAAGCAGCTGTGGAGGTGCCAAGCTGGCCTCTTCATGATTGGGTGTTTGGGATTGGTTTGAAAAAAACGGCATTCGAATCTCTGCGAAGCCATGGTGAGATGTCATAGTTCTCCCTACCTCAATTGTGTTGGCCTTCGCGGCCCTCGCAAAACACCGCTTAGCACCGGATATTGTACTCTGTGAAAATTGTTAAATGTGAAAGAAAAAAGATATGGCAATTGTTCGTACAACATTGAATCATACCCTGAACCGGTACCGCGAAGGTCTTTAAGCTCGGAGAACGTGTTGTGATCCACTCGGATTTTCTGGGTCTTGGATGGCATCCAGCATGTTGGTGTTGTAACTTTTGGTTGGGGAGGTCATCGACTCAACAACCCTTCACAGGATTTCACCATGGGTGCTCAAGAAAAGCCATGACCATGGCCCACATAACCCCCCTATAGAGTTGTGGCAATGTGTGGCAATGGCGCGGTTTGCGCAAGGAGCTCTCTGGCCAGCTGCCGCAACTCTTCGCAGCTGGCCAGCGGCTGGCAAGCGGTCATGAGATCCAGGAGCGACAGAGAGAGAGAGAGAGGGAGGGAATGTGAGAAAGAGGCACCAAGAAAAAAAGAAAGATCGCAAGAAGGAAAGAAAGGAAGAGAGGAAGGAAGAAAGAGAGACAGGCAGAAAGACAAAGCAGAGAAGGAATAAATAGAGGAAGCAAGAACAAGTGATAAATGTCGAAATAAGGAAGAAGGAAATAACGCAATGGAGAAACATAATACATACAGAAAGTAAAGACACAACGAGAGCAAACGAGGAAGAAATAGAAGGAGAAAGAAGCCACGAACGATTGATCGAGAGAAAGTAGTGAAGGAAAGAAAGAAAGAAAGAAACAAAGAAGGGAAGAAAGGAAAGAACCAGCAGGAAACACGAGCGCATACTCAGAGCTTCGGTTTCAGCCTGTGAACTCCGAACGCTACTTGCAGGAAATGGAGCTCAGCGAGCTGGCAGAGAAACTGCGGGCTCTGGGGGCCGTGGAGGCATGCGTAGATGTTGTATGTGACAGTTCTAGCCAGAAGCGATCCCAAAGTCAAGACAGCAAGTCAGCGAGTCTCAGACAGGACTTGTCCCATGCCAGGCTGCGTAGGCTGCTGGCAGAGCGGCATGCTTAAAAATGGGCTGAGCAGCAGGCGGCTAGACGCAGCCCACGCTTCTGTGAAATGCCCTTGTGCCGCAAGAGTGATTGGAAGTTTGTTTGGCCCACGATCATCAATGCCTTTTCGCGCTGAAACTTGCCCTTCGTTCGGTCAAGCTTCGCAAGCCTCGTACTTCAATCCTTTGCGTGAATGCTGTGAGCAGGCAAGAGACGTATGGCTCAGCTCCCAGGTAGTTTGAGATTGATTGAAACTAGCCGCACCCGCTCTGCCTATAATTTGATTCACTTATGTGCATGCATTGTCTTCCCCTCTCTTTCTTTTTCACCCAAGGCGTCCTTCACACACACACCCACACCCACACTCTTTCTCAACAAGACACATGGCATGCTTCGCCAACCCATGCCAGTCTTGATTTGGGCGACCCACCTACCCCAAATGTGGTACTGGATTGCTTGCTATCCATGAAATGTCATGCGACGTATTCAACGTTCAGGCTTGGTCTTTCCCCAAGCCCAAGATCGTAAATAGTTTCGGCGCTTTGCGGAGGCCGGAAGGATGTCCAAACGCCCCGCTCTTCAGCGCGCGCTGCGTGTGGTGGAGCCCAACGCGGCGAGCTCGTGCCGGGTACGTCTGGCGCAGGCTGGTGAAGCTGTGTGGCGCAGCGACACGCAGGGCTCCGTTCAGAAAGATCGAGAAGACAGACAAGGCTACGTGCGCGGCAAGAAGGCCCAACGCGTGCTCGCGCCCAACGAGGATCCCGGGAGAACTTTTTGCACCCCAACTTCGGTGATCTGCTGAATGTCAAAGAGGCGCCGGCGGACATGCAGGAGGCTCGCAGTCTCAGCAAGGAGTTGTGGCTGAGGACTGAGGGCGCTTGGCTTGGGCCCAGTGGCGGCGGGCGGCGCGATCGATGCAGCTTGAGAGCCAGAGAGTGTGGAGGCAGACAGGCTTTGAGAGTGTCTTTTACCGCATTGAGGACCAGGCCAGGTCTGGGGAACCTTTACGACCAGTTTGTGAGCACGCAGGATGCCGATGCGGAGTCACTCAAAGCCACGATCGGCAAGGTCAAAGAAGGGAATCGAGGGCAGCAATGCCAGGCGCCGTGCTACTTCTGCTCTTCCACGGGCGCCAGACGAGGAAGGCGTCCGCCACGTTGGCCACAGCTGGGCGCCCCCGGAATCGCCGTCGAGAAGTCTGCGGCGGCTACTGTCAAGAGAGAGCAGCGTGGCGAAGGGCGGGGCAAGGGGCGCTTGGGATTTGCGCTGTGAGGAGTTGGGAGCGAGTGGAGCAAGGGTCATGGCGGAGCGCATCGTCCCGCGCGTCTTCTTGGGAAGGATGCATGCGTGGGCAAAGTGGGCAAACAAGAAAAGAATTGTTTCCTTCTGGTATGTTGGGCGGTTGGTTAAGTATAGTGATATAGCACACAATCGCAGCGCGGCGCAACTGCTTCATGGCGACGTGCGTCCATGGCATTGACGGCATTCCTCAGCAACTTGCAGCGCCTTGTGGCTGCCATGGCTTCCCTCGTTTGATCGACTTAGCGAGGCTGGTTTGCACTCGGCGGCGTAATGCTTCATAAGCGCTTTGCGGCTTGACAATTTCCGTGTGTAGAACGGCTGTTCCCAACGCAAGACTGAGAGTTGCTACCCCGCTTGATTTTGGCAGGATGGCAGGTGGCAATGGCTGCTCGGTGTCGGAGGCTTCTTGTTGCAAGACACGGGCGGTGCCTTGCCCGCTCAGCAATGTTTTGCAGCAGTCAGCAGCTGGAAGCTTGGCAGTTTTGACGAAGTAGACCGACCGACTGGAGGATCAAACCTTCCGTTGCCGACTTCAACTTCCTCATAAATGCAGCATCACAAGATGGTGACCCATTTCAGTGTGAACTTTGGCTGCGAAGGACCGGGCTGGACATTGCTAATTCACGCGCACCAGCTTTGTGACTGGGAAGGTCCTGGGTTGGATCTTATTTTGTCCTGGGGCGCCAGGATGATTTGGAGCAGAGCTGCTCCTGACATCGTGAGCTACACCACCTTGATCTCTGCCTTTGCCAGAGCAGGACCAGTACGAGTTGGCCGGCCGGACGCATCCTCGAGGTGGGTCTCTTTGCTCTTAGTAGCAGCTTGGAAATATTGGGAGTCTGACAGGTCAGAATTGAAGAAAAACATTCCGAAGAGAAAGAGGCCATGTGGAATTTATTATTGCTGACAGTTTTCAGGTTCACTCGTGTTTCTCAGGGACAGTTTCCGGAGTATTCCCACAGGTCAATTCTCGAGATTGCCTCTACCAATGCACTGTCAGTGTTCACCGTGACAGCCTCTTCTAAATGCCTCTTGAGCACTCTTCTTGCTGTCGAAGATCAGCCGAGCGAATTGTAAGCAGAGCATGGTTGGTAAGCCGAAAGGTAGAATAGAGTATGGTTTGTCATGTGTATCAGAATCAGATCCAGCAGAACTACCGCTCAGAAAGTTCCTCCTTGAAGAACGCAGCAAGAGTCATCGGTGAACGAGGTCAAAAGCTCGAGGCGCAACATGAGAACTTGTCCATTATGTTCGAGAAGGATTTCAGCGCACATCGTTTTCAAGTACTCTGCAAACAGCCCTCCACAGTTTAACGGGGTCATCCTCAGGCACACAAGACTTTACAGTGTACAGCCTTGTCATATTTATACAAAGCGCCGCATTTTTTTTTTTCTCTCTCTCTCTCTCTCTCCCTCTCTTTTCTCATGTTGCTCACTAAAGTCGCTGCGAGAGAGGCACAGGCTCGAGCCAAGCTGCCCTGAGGAGACCCGAATCGTGCTGAGAAGTGGTTCAGCAGGACACCTGGAACTCATTCTCGGAAATCAGCTTAATGCTTGGCACATAATTTCGTGCATGTATCTTGCATTTTCACACGTCAAGCTGAGCCCCTTGCGTCAATCGCCAGGATGCAGCTGCGTGGCTTGCAGCCTTCCCTCATTACTTTGAACTCCTTGCTGGATGCCAGTGCCAAGCGCGGCAGGTTGCAAGCAGCCGAGACTCGAAGATTTGGAAAGGGAAGGAACACATGGAACACTAAGTGCAGAGGTGGCCTCTTTGAGAAGGCTGTCGAGTTGTGAGACGAGGCCCAAAACATTTTTCCCCCGTAAAGACTCCACTGTTTTTGTTGCATGCTCTACAGTCAGTCTGCCCAAAGGAATGGTGGTTTCAATATATGGAAGACTCTGATCTGCGACCGGACAGCATCAGCTTTTGTGCGATGCTCAACGCTTGTGCAAAAGCAAAGGATGACACCCGTGCCAAGGCAGGGTGTTGATCTCAGTGGGTTGTCTAAAGACTTGCCCTTTTACCCATGCCATGCTCGAGTGAACGTGCTTCCCGAGATTTGGTTCCAGAAGATGTGCGACAACAACTTCTCGCCAGATTTGATCGCCTACAACTCCTTTATCTCTGCCTGTGCGGGCAAAGGGGATGTGCCACAAGCGGAAGCCCTGCTAAGAGAGGCGGGAGCCCGGCGACTATCGCCAAACCTGGTGACCTACAATGCTGTGCTGCATGCGGCAGCGAGGTCCTCCACACGTGAGGCTGGAGCCATTGCCTGCATGCTCTTGGCCGCATGCATTCCATTGCGCGTGGTTCTTGCATGGCCTGCAAAAGGCGTGGCAGTCGAATTGCCTCCAGCGTGGCGCTCGCAGGACTTGCAAAAGGCCAAAGAATACCTGGGCCGACTTCAGAGCGCAATTGGCCCGGATATCGTGAGCTTCAACTGCATCCTTCACGCGTGCGCACGCCTCAGCCAGGTGGCTGAGGCTGAAAGGACTTTGCGCAGCTTGAAACAGTCGCTGCAGCCGAACCTGATAAGCTTCAACGCCATGATCAGCGTGCACTGCAAGGCACCGAAGCAACGTTGACACAGAACCCAATGACACTATCAGACTGGATCATGCAGTGGCGGGTTGTTGCTTGTAAATGCTGTTGTTGCGATGCTACATTGGCGTAGCTTCTTCACCAGCTTAATATGAGCACTGACACACACACACACACATGCGGCTTCCTGGCTTTCGTTCGCAGTGTGATTTGTTGCTTGGAATGGAATTGTAACACCATCAATCTTCACCTGAAGGTGGATTGGCCTGAGGCTTCGTGCGGAGTAGTACACTTTGTGCGGAGTAAGTGCAGACGCACCGACAAGCTATGCATTGTTCACAAGGACTGACACTCAAACAGCACCCACTTGTCAAGGCTCCTAGCTGCCTTGTAATGCCAAACTAAGATAAGGAGCTTAACGCTCGACATGTTGTAAATTGTCGGTGTAAGCTTACAACATAACAATGAGTTCTCTAGCCCGGGTCATTGACATCAAGCAAGCACAATCACACTCAAAAACGCACGTGGCAACGCAGACACTCGCAAACGAACAGACAAACCACACACACACAAAGATGCACAAAACACACACAAACACACAAACAAACAAACGCACAACTACACATAACACGGCCATACACAAATACACAAAGTCACAACAACACACATAAAACAACCACACACACACATAACACAACCACAGACACACACACACAAGTGCACACAAGTCCACAAATGCACACAAATGCAAGCACAATATAAATCCAAATGCACACACACACACACATGAGCATACGCGCAAATACAAAAGCACGTTGGCACACATGCACACATGCACAACACACACACACACACTTATCTTTAATTGCATGACGCTCGCTAACACGTACACACACACACACATGCGAACACCTTCTCGTACGCCCGCACCCAAACGATCCAAACGTGGGGGGACGCACGCACACAAACACAAACGAGCGCGCGAACTTTCATACAACCACCGCACACACAAGCACACACACACAAACACACACACACACACACACACGCACGCACGCACGCACGCACGCACGCACGCACGCACGCACGCACGCACGCACGCACGCACGCACGCACGCACGCACGCACCACGCACGCACGCGCGCACGCACGCACGCACGCACGCACGCACGCACGCACACACGCACACACACACACACACACACACACACACACACACACACACACACACACACACACACACACACACACACACACACACACACACACACACACACACACACACACACACACACACACACACACACACACACACACACACACACACACACACACACACACACACACACACACACACACACACACACACACACACACACACACACACACACGCAGAGAGACCACACATTCACACATGGCGGCAGCAAGTAGCAAGCTGTGCTTGAGTCTTGCCAGCCTTTCAAAGTGCACTTGCAGCTGTGCCGAGGCAGGTGATATTTCTGCAGCGACATCTTGCCTAGACGAGTTGGATGCTGGCTCAGCTCGCATTCTCAACAAGCCATATGAATGGGAGAGCACGCGGATGCAGAGAAGAGAGGTTGAAATTTGAAGAGCACTTGGACACGTCCCAATTAGCCCGCTTGGATAAGGAAGCGCGGCGCATTCGCCCGGACACTGCCACCTTTACGCCCATTCTGGCAGAGCTCTCGCGCATCAGGGATCAGCGGCGCATCACCGCAATCTTCCACCGGATGCGTCAGGCTGTAATTCCTTGGGATTCCGGATGTCTTGTTCATAGGCAGTTCGTTTGTTTGTTGTTCTATGAACGTGTATCCGACTACTGTGCATGTCAGGCCGGGTTGGCGCCAGACACCAGCTATCCAATCGCCGGCAGCGACTTCAATAGCCTAAGAAGGCCACAGCGCGAGGCCGAGAAGAAAACGGGACTGTTTGGCTGGATTTAAAATGGTGATTGTGAAACGTTGGCTGTCATTGCATGGCTCAAGAGCAGAGAATGTGACATCGTGTGACAAAGGCGTTTAGATGCCCATTGCTCGCGCGCGCAAGCTACTCACGGGCTTACGAGTTTTACGGCATGCTTTGATCATGTTAAGCGCAGCCACCTTGCAGGTGTGAGGGAGGTGAAAGTCAGTGCATGTGCAATTTGCGTATATGTATGTTGCATGCCTTTCATCTCCACACATAATGATTTTTGTTGCAGCAGATTGTACCGCGTGTAGTATTTGTACTCAGCATGTGACATGTTTGCCATGTTAAGAGGGCCAGCTGTGGAGCAGCATGTCGCAGAGGCCATTCAAGTCCGTGCCTGCAGTGTGCACCGCTTGTTCCCCAGGATCCGACGGCAGCGGCGTGGCTGGCAAAGGACGCGAAGCTGTGTAGATAACTTTCTGAGCGGGGAGGCAGCCGAATCTCAATGCCTTTCCTTTGTGTTTGTGTTGGATCGGCCGGGCGTTGTGGTTGCCAGGCTGATGTCCCAGGTGATTTGATCTGGAAGCTCTTTGCCTCCTTGAAGGAGTACCTCGAACTTGTAAAGTCCGGTGAAGCCTGTGTGCTTGTAGGACTCCGTCACAGAGCTGTCTGAGTCTCTGCACTTCGACAGAAAGGCCTGGCATTGCGTCAGACTAAGCGGGAGCAGAGTGCATGAGGTGCTTGAGGCCCCAGAGAAGCAAGAGGATGCGCAGGTAGCTCGAGGGGGAATCCAGCTAAGTCGCAGTGTGGCATTGCAGCTCGGGTGGTTTTGGTTGCTTATGTTGCTTCTCATCCTTTGCAGGAGGATCTCAAGATAACAACCCGGCCATATGCGTCAGTGCCAAGGTGTCCCTGCTGCAAACCAAGGACGCCACCAAAACATGGTACTTCGAAAGGGTACTTTTGCCTCACATGCAGCGCACACTGAGGCGCCTTGAGCCCTACTTGCCATGGGAGAGCTTGCGCCCTCTGCTACAGGAGCTCGATGCACAGGCATCACCGAAGCTGCCAGCTTTGCGCTGCAAGACCGTTACCAGCTTGGCTTGCAGGCATACCTTGCCAGCTCGCAGCATGTACTGTACCCATCGCTTTTCAACTTCATCTCCGGATTGGCACCTTGGCTTCTAGTGGCTGACTTGTATCAACAGGTTCACGACCTGTGGCAGGACACTGGAGTTACTTCATTTGCAGTCCTGCAGCTCACTGATGCGCATTTGGTGGGTTCTCACATGCTACCCTTCTCATCTTGGGATGTCGGTGCAGTTGCAACTCGGCCGCAACACACTGCTGACCTTCCGGAGGATTCGAGACGTGTTAACATGTGTTAGCTCTCCGACCAGTTTGTCAGGTGAGCGCCCGAGTCTGCGGGGCACTCTGCGGCTCAATGCTGCTGCTTTGCACCTCCAAGGCTGCTTGCTTTATCTTCATGCTCTATGTGCTTGCCACGCTGTTGTCTCGTAGCACCTGATATAATATTGTTGTCGACTTGTAAATGCAGAACCTCTGTCGCATTGCAACTGTGGCTCATGTTTTCGAGTTGTTCCCCGTGTTTTTGTAAGGTTTTTGGGTGACGTGAGGCTCAATTTGGCGTAGTTTGGTCGGGGATGTGGGTTGTGGCGGGTAGGTCTTGAATTGGCTGAGGCACCCCAAACTGGCCGCAGACCACTGGGGAGTCGAACCCGGGGATTGCCCCACTTTCGTTTCGGGTTGGGGGTTGCGCTACTGGCATGTTACAGGAACCATCCTCTCGAGACCTTCTAGCTTGGACTGGCGTTGGCATTACTGCACCTGGGCATCATATGCCAAGCTTCAGTTTGCAGGCTGCAGACAATCGAGAACATGCATTCATTTGTTCGCTTTCCTTTTGTGCACACTTCTGCTGAGGCCATTTCGCTGTGCACCTTCCTCGCAGCAGACCGAAATACTCTGCTGCTATTGCGGTTCCTTGCTGGCTTGGCTGAAGGCTTGTGCGGTCCCGCTTCCTGAAGGATGATCTTTCTTTTTCCCACCGTTGGAACCTGCTCTCAAAGGAATCATGCTTCATCATGGTTCGCCATGTTTCCCCCAGATTGAGCATGTTGCAGGTGTCTCTTCGCCGGCGAAGGCAGCTTACGTTGTGGAGACAGTGGAGGCAGATCTTCGAGGGGCATCGAACGGAACTCGCTGGGCAGCCTTTGCCCTGGGATCCTGTGTGCCGCGGCAGCGAAGCCAACCACCTCTGTTGGCCCCTTCTGCTTTCCATGTTTGCCCATTTGCAATCTTGGGCGGGTTGCCGCAAATTCCACAGCTCGCACGTTGCGATGTATCCAAGGCTGGAGTGGCCATGGGAGCTGTGCTTCGGCCCATCCCAGGAGCTTGGCAGGCTCATCTCCACGCACTCGGAAGGGATGGAATATGAGCGTGCTACGAGCGTGCCGAGGTCATGCTTGCAGCCTCAGCTGTCCCTGCAGCGCTTGCTGGGGTGCGGCTCTCATGGCAAATTGTTGCGATTGCTCCTGCAATTGAAAGCTTGCTCACTTTGAGGCGGGAATGCTGGCGCTTCCCCATTCTCCTCGATGGCTAGCCCACACTGCGGGTGCGACATTTTGTGCATGTCAAGAAATATGCAGTTTGCCAGAGGAATGCTTAATGCCGTATCCTGTGACTTACTTAGAGCAGGCGAGGGGACGGCCCGCGAGCGGGCCATGGCTTCCTTGGAGGACCCGGCCACAGCGCATATCTGGTGACTTCTGGTGATCTGCAGCCTTCTGTTGCTTGAGCCTCCCGGCTGCCAGACACTCCGGCCACACCACGACCGTTTGGTTCTTCAGCAGGAAATGGACATCATTTGCCAAGGCAACCTATTGTGTGAGTTTGGATCATGCAGTTGTATGCTTTTATGGCAGCCTTTTGGATGAAGGCTTGACCAACAAGAGTGCGAAGGAGGTCAAGGTTGCGGATGTCTGGGACCGCGGTATGAGCACCTTGTGACTCTGGATTTGTCCGACAATATGCCACATGAGTGTTGTGTAGCTAAAAAACATGTGCAGGATACCTTGCAGCATCCTGCGACTGAAATCAGCGCCCTGGTGACTTTTTTCAAGCTGCCCGGATGAAGTGGGGAAGAGAGGTTCGTTTGAACTTGAATTCTGCGACAGTGGAATCGGTGTCGCTCTGCAAGGCAGGCAAATGGCACCATTGCCATGACAGCCTACTTAGCACCAGCCACATACCCAGTACATATCAAACCTGCCGCTGTGTTCAGGCAAACTCTGGCGTTATTTGAGGTGCTGGCCGCCATGGGCTGCGAGAGGAACTTCACGGTCCTCGGAATTGCGGTGTCCTTATCACAAGTTTTGCCAGCCTTTTGCATCCTTTTGTGCTCGTAAGCAATTTTGGCGTGCCCAACTTGCCAGGTGTTAGCTTTTTGCAGTCTGAGGTGCTGACTGCTGTGAGGTCCGTCACAACACCTTTGGGCATTGTGCGCTTTGCACATGCTCCATTGGTTTTGCTTTCATGGCGATGAAATGATCCAACTGTGACCAGCGAGATTACGACAAAAGGTACTGATGGACCGAATCGGTCGTCGCGGCAGCCTCCTTTTGGGCTGCTTGGGCACCTCTGCCTCGATGTCAGCGGCAACCTCAAAGCGGCAACCGTGGCAACTTGTATCGAAGGAATCGACGCCAAGGTGCTGTTTGCATCGCATGCATTGGGAAGCCATGCGTCAGCAGGTCTGGGAGCCCCAGACAGCTCGCGTGATCATGTATTTGCGCGAACTAAAGTCATCACTTGTGATTAGGACTCGTTCGGCTTGCTTGATTCCAGGCCTAATGACCGCGTCCTTTGGCTCTTTTGTTGCAGCAACAGCGCTGTTCGAGATGCCTGCCTGCAAGTAAAGCTCAAATTTAGTGAGTGCTTCCAGTCGCTGCACACAACTCCGTGGCCCCCAGGCTTTGCTGGGCTCCAACGACGTACCAGCTTACAACAGAGCTCTATCCACAAGAGATTCGGCAGCATGGTTTGGCTTTGTCTCACGCAGGGCCCTCGATCAAGACGTTGCGCAGGGTGAGCTTCAGATTGCATGAATGCTGAGGTCTTTAACTATGGAGTGAAGGCTGGAGTTGGTACCAGCTTGAAGTGAGCTACAATGTATAAGAGGTGGAGTTGTCTCTGGTTGTGTCCGGGTGTTTACATTGCATTTGAATTGAGAAATAATGGACCGCAAAGTGCATGTTGAGCACCCTGTATATATGTATATGCAGAGGAGAAGCACCACATGCTTGAACTGCGAGAACAGATTTAAGGGCCCATCGCGTGACAGGGTTCCCCCTCTTTTCCATGGCAAAAAGTGACACGCTCGCTAGAGTGCGAGCAGGGTCGCCAGGGGAGTGGGGTGAGGTGGTAAAAATCCTTGCTTGAAGAAGCTTGTTTAGATGGCACGCCCGTGTTGGACTTGCTGCCAACTGTATCCTCAGAATGTGGGACCCAATTTCTACGATTCTACAACCTGCCCTGAAGCTGGAGCTTGGCGCAGTCGAGCATTTTTCGGCGGGCCCCATGCAAAGTTGGGGCCCGCCCTCCGCAAGGCAATCGAAATGCAATTGTTCCCTCTCTTCTTGGGCATCGCTGGCCTGACCCCCTTCTTTGCCGTGTGCGCCGTGGTCGGGCACTCGGTCTTCTGCTGCAGCAACTGCCTCACTTCTTTGGCTTTTGATACAGCAGCTTCGTTGTTCGCGCTTTTTTCCAGGTGAACACTGCTGGCGCCCTTGTGGTCTATCACATTGTTCCCGAGACCTGTGGAAGGACAGGCTGTCGAAGTGCAGCTTGCGCGAGCCTGCATCTTTGCGCGCGATCGACGCAGGACACTGGAGGAGGTCAAGCAGCTCTGGGAGGTGTAGGCCTGAGACGGTCCACACGGACCCGCTAGCAAATTCGTCATGTGTCATGTTGCAGCCTGGCCTGGATGCCGCACCGTTGGGAAGTTGCCCAGGCGGACATGAACATGGGATCATATCAAATCGAAGCTTACACGTGCTAATATGAGGAGACGTGTTGCTCCGTCAACATGGTTTGAACACACACACACACACACTCGCCTATACACTGACACACGTGCACATGCGCACATGTGCGCATGTGCGCATGATATACGCCATGCAGATTCACGCGTACACACATGTGCTACAGTACGCGTATACCCACACCCACACACACACGCACATGCACGCCTGCATACATATTTGTGATGCCAGTATATGTTTGTGTAACGATGCTGTACGTGATGCAATGCGATGTGATTTGCATGATTGTGATGTGACGTGAGATCAACATTAAAATCAGCCCGTTTATTTTTTGCAAAGCAACCAGTGCTAGGACAAGCAACCACACGTCTACCTTTGGTGTCACATCGCCACGCCTGCACTGACCGCAGCACCTACCCCCCGGCAAGCACGAGCCGTTGGCCCTATATATCCTGTGTAACGTGTAGGATGCCGCAATGTGCAATGCATGTGCGTATGGAAGGAAGTATGCCTCAATGTATGTCAAGCATGGAAGACATGCAATGCATTTTTTTTGTACGGTATAGAGACTGTGAGAAGTTTTTTGTTATGTCTGCTAGGCATGCTATGTATGTTCGGTATGGCGCACGTGTTATATACGGGCTTGTGTGTAATAGGTGTATTGCATTCGCATACGTGTTATGTGACTTATGTGCGTCATGTGTGTTATGTGGTTTGTGGGATGGAGAACTATACAGGACTGTACAGTATGTACTACATGTGTGCTGCGTGTGCCGTGATCATGCGAGTATGTTATTCATGTAACTCATGCATTCGTAGAGTGTATGGAATGTAGCAGTGTACGAAATGCACAGAGTGGCATGAAACGAAACGAATCTGAGTGATGTAATTTACGAAGGGCATACCATGCATACAATGCGCGCAATGCATGTAACGTAACGCGGGCAATGTGTGTCATGCGTGTAGTGCCTGTATCCGTAAGTAGCACCCAATGCAAGTTCTACATTGAACAACGAGTGTGTTTGTGTGTTGGAGGATCTGTGCATAGCATATGTCGCGCATTAATAGTATGCAGCGTACGAACTGTATGTGATGATCTGATGTATTTTAAGTGTGGAATATATATACATATATATATATATATATAACCTGTGTGAGCTATGTATGTGGTGTATGTAGTTCATGTAATATGTAATATGTAGTGTATGTAGTACGTGTTTGATGTGTGTGATGTTGTCATGTGTGTAGTGGACGTTTGTATGGAATGCGGGTGGTGCGTTCAATGTGTGTCATCTAGCATGTAAGCAGGATATGAGCTGATTTTGGCTAGGTTCATCTATATTTCAAGGCAGCTGTGAATCTATGCATCTTGGAATCTATGAGTACGTGTATATCAGTGCGTTTCTGTGAACTTATTCGGTGCTTGTTGTAAAATGCGGGACCTCAGCTCCGCTGAGAGCATGCTTTTCGTGCAAATGGGTGTGGCTCACAATTCAAGACCCAGGGCTACGCAAGCTTTTGTTTTTGTTTACCAAGGAGCCATTTAGGATACTATTGTTTGAGCCACAAACACATGCCACAAAGACCAATGTCATGACATGATCTTGCAGTGGCATTACATCCCAACTAATGAACTTATTCATGCTTCACACATGGCATGGATGAAATGCGTGACATACATGACATAGACCTATTAAGACACACACACACACACACACACGCACACAGGCACATGCACCACACTACACTGCATTGCAGTGCAGACAGTACATTTACATTTGTTGCATTTACAATACAATTGCATTTCATGTAGATTACTTCCTGTTACATCCACGTTACATTTTGTATTCACGCGCATTGTATTTGCATCAATCACACTTGCGTCACTTTATGTACATTTACGTTGCCTTCATTTACGCTACATTACATACATTGCTCTGAGTAGCTGAACCCAAAGGCGACTTCGGGTAAGCACTGTTGTAATGTTGTGTCTAATGTGTTTTCAGATGCCAGCCCATGTGTTGCTTCCTTCTGCTGTCAGCTCTGGACGTTTCGGTCTCTGGATGCTGAGGAGCCTGATCACGAGGGCGCAGAGGATCTTGACTCAGTTTGTGTAGAAACTTTCCTTGGCTCATGCGATCAGCTGCATGCTAGGCCGAAGAGGCCACACTTGCTTGTGAAAGCTCTGAGTGAGCCTGCGAAGAAGGTGCAGCTTGGAAGCGTTGCCGCGGACCTCGTCGCCTCGAGGGGTTCGGGGCAAGGAGAGCTGGCTGCGGAAAATAAAGAGTTCCGGTGATGCGTGCAATCTTGGCTGGCGCGGGCTTGTGAGGGCGTCTGTGACTTGCGCGCGCACAGCACTTTGTGCAAGAGATTGCCAGAGAAAGGAATCCAACGCTTCTTGCCCAGGCGCGGACAGGTTTGAGGCCGAAAGCGCATTTTGAAAGGCACGCAAAAGCGGCCAAACGTGACGCTTGAATCCAAGAATTCCTAAATTTAGAGAAAGGGTTGCAGCAGTCAACGTCGGACAGCTCAGCGGTCAAGACCCCCCCGGCAGTGGCAGCTTGTTTTTGCCGAGTTCTGTGCGTCAGGCCTACCGGTAGACGCCATCAAGCCCTTGGAAGGCAACAGGCGCCCGTGAAAACGATGGGTTGAAATCGCGCTGACACTTGAACGCGGCCCTGCAAGTGTCTAGCGTCACTTGAACTTCCTGTTGGAAAAAGAACATCGAGAGCTGGAAGCCAAACGCTGGGCTTCGAGGAAGGTGAAGTTCCGGAGGCTGCCGAAGCAGACTAGGAAGGAGTCGACTTGCGCAAGGAAAGTAGACTTCCAGAAGCTACCGTTTCACGCAACCACTCTTCCCGCTCCCCTTTTCGAAGAACAGGTCGGCGGAGCGGAGGAAGTAGTAGTAGTAGTAGCAGCAGGAATCGCGGTAGTAGTCGTACAGTCGTCGTCATCATTGTTGGGGTGGTGCGCCTGACACATGCCTCTGCTTCAAGTGACCGGGCCTGCAACGGTTTCTGGAGCGAAGGTTGCTGCTTTGGAAGGAGGGTTGCAACCCAAAAAACGGCTATGGCTGGGCCAGCGAGCGCACGCTGGTGCTTCGGTTTTCGAAAACGGTGGGTCGCAATGGTGGAGAGTTTTAACGGGGTCATGAGTCAGTTGTCAACGTAGTGGTGGTCCGACACCGCTTGGAGATGTGCCCGCCCGTGCCAGCGCTCTGTGTTGAAAGACAATCAACGAAAAACAAAAATTCAATGACCAGAGCGCACAGCGTGCAGTGCTGGCCGGATTTGGTTTATGTTGGCGCTAGTTTCACTCGGCCAGGAAAAAGTAGCCCATTTCCACCCAAACAATTAATGGTCAACATATTGGAACCAGTGAACAATGCGTTGATGACAAGGACTCGCTGCAAAAGCTGATCTTTGCGTGATAACTAAGTGATAACTCTTGAGCGGCTTTCCTTGTTATCGCCCGGTGCTTCGATCCACCACCGGTGCCGTTTATTTTACCGAAGGATTTCCACTCTTAGATACTCTTAGCAAGGCACGCGTGTGTGTGTGCCCGTTGTGCAGCCATGGGCGTGCGCGGGCTGTTGAAGCTCCTGAGGCAGAAAGTGCAGCCTGAGGCGAGGGAATGTGAGTCAGTGATCCAAACACGGACCATATCTCGTTGCTCTTCCGAGATTCGGATTTATGCGTACCAGATTTCACGGGGAAACCTTTTAAGCGCAGCACCCTTGAGCCCAGCCGCAAACCACCAAGAGGGGTTTCTTTTCATTGCTCCACGTATTGCTCAGGTAGAGGAACTGGAGGAAGCTGCGGAGGGGCAGCCCAACCATCACTTGGTGGTGGACTTTCAGCCCTTCGCTTTCTGGCTTCTCCAGTCTTTCCAGGAGCTTGACCTGTGTGGGGTCAAGGAAAGCTTCATGAGAAGTTCATGGCCAGCTTGGTTCAACTGATTCGCGCCTGCGCACCACACTCTGCGCTTGCATGTCAAGCGTCTGCCTTCACAAACCCAGCCAACTACAAACGGGTGCGATTCAGCACAATGCAAAACATGTAAGCCGAAAGCACATGCGGCAAAGGGCAACCTTTAAGCGCACTAATCGGCAGGGGGCTGGGGTGGCCGGGCCGGGCCGCTGCTGTCGCTTTTCGCTTGCAACACTGGGTTAAAGTGTTTTTGCTGGTAACTCAGCTGATCTCGTCAAAGCTGGCCTGGGTAGTGTTGGATGAACGATGAGGTTGCTGGCGATGCAGTCGAGCGCAGTTGAGCCCGCCAGCGCTGCGCTGGTGCATAGTTCCAACTGTTTGCGCGCGACCGGCCTAGTTGTATTTTCGCTGGTGTGCTTCTGGTGATGCATTTGATCCCGCGTGACTCCAGTCACAATCACAACCAGGTTGTTGAGTCACGCTAGACCCCAGTTCTGTTCGCAGGGCTAGAAGGTAGGATCGCAAGCAGACGGTTTGGTTCGATGACAAATTTGCGCAGGCAAGGCTGCGAGCCGAGCCATGAAAGTCTTTGGACCCCTCAGTTTTGGGGCGCTTGGTGACCTAATGATGTGTATAGGTATAAAGACCCAATACGCTACTTGTATTTTTGGCTCAAGGAAAAGGTGTGCTCCGCAGTGCACCCGAGCCTAAGTAATCAAGTTTTCATGGTAGCGAGTGAGCCTGATCTACCTGAGCGAGCAGGTCGGCGGTCCATCTGGACCGGAAAGATCGGGGACAAGGGCACGGGCAAGAACAAGGGCAAGGACAAGGGCAAGCAGGGCAAGAAGGGCAGGAAAGGCCCACCGGAGCCTCCGTGGAGGAGGTCCAAGAGCGGCAAAGGAAGAGCCGCTAGAGCGGGCGCTGAGTACGAGTCCTGCGATCCTCACTTGAGGAGAAGTTGGGTCGAGTTCTTAAAGAAGATGACCCGGTGCTGTCTTGGTTTCCAAGACACTCAGCAGACCTGATTTGCAGGTACAAGAGGGGTGTCGATGGGAAGACACCAGAGCAGAGGCGTAGCGGCAAGCAATGGAGAAAGCCCGCTATTGCCATTGGAGAGCGCCTCTACTCTCGTGAGGTAGGTGAAGGCGCTAGGCCGTTGAAGGAAGGCCGGTATATAGGTCACCACGGAAGGACTGGCGCTTTGCTGGTTGTGACACGAGAAGGAGTGAAGCGAGGTACAGGAGTTCGGAGGATGAGCAGTGGAACCCTCAGGGATGGGAGAGCCTGAAGGGCTACCCCTGGGAGGTTTCGGTGAGAGCCCCAGGAACACCAAGCCAGAGGGCGCCTGGGACTCCAGCCCAAGGAGTAGAGGATCTGCTGGTCGTGAGGACCGGGTTGAGGTACCGCCTCAGATCGTGCCACCACCGCAGCAGCGACGGATCTACATCCGGAAGGTCGACGTGGACAAGTACAAACCTACAGATGGATGCGGGGTGCACATGTGTGCTGCTGGGAGAACCCACGCAGCTTCCGCACACGGAGGCGTGCAGAGCCCGAATCGTTGGGCTCATGATGGACGACGAGCAAGGACGACGTAGAGTCGAAGAACACAAGAGGAAACGTGAAGAATCCACAAAGGAGCCCCAGCCCAGGTGGCTATGGGAGAGCCGGCCGTTGGGGCCGGGGCAGGAGCAGGTCATGTCCTGCAAACGCTCCGGACAAGCCTCCAGACGTGGGAGGACTTGAACTGAGTCGATTGAAAGGCATGTTGCGGTCAATGGTTGGAAGAAAGATTGAGAGAGCTTTCGCAGCCCAGGAGGTGGAGATTAATGCAGTGGACTTGGAGCAGATCACCAAGCTTTGCGTAGAGATGGGAGCAGTAGACATCATGGAGATCTACAGCCCGAAGAGGTTCACAGCCCAAGCCGAGCGCTATGGCTTGAGGCCAGGTTTTGCAGTGGACCTGGAAGAGCAGAAGCCGGACGCAACCTACTGGGATCTCAGTAGGGAAGAAGACGTCCGAGAGCTCGACAAGTACGTGGACGAGGTCGAGCCAACATGGCTCACAGGGAGTCCGCCCTGTGATCAGTTTTCTCAACTACAGAACATCAACAAATATAAAGTAAGTGCGGATAAGAGAAGAGAGAAAATGGACAAAGCTGTAGCACACTTGCATACTGCCTGTGGCTTCTACAGGAAGCAAGTTGAGGCTGGCAGATTCTTTCTGCGTGAGGCACCGTGGAGTGCCGCATCATGGAAGGACCCGGAGGTCCGAGATCTTTCTGAACGACCGGACGTGTATACAGTCCGAGGCCCAATGTGTAGGTGGGCTATGGTCGCTTCGGACCGACGGCGTTTGCAAGGCACAGGATATGTGCGCAAGGAAACAGGCTGGATGACCAATCATCCAGGACTGGCGCAACTGTTGCAAGGAGAATGCAGTAACAAGACAGAGGGGAAGCCTTGGCATAGGCATGTCCACCTAATCGGAGGACTCGCGAGGCCAGCAGCGAGATATCCGCCGGCGCTGGTGCGGGCGGTGCTGAGAGCCTTGAGGGACTAACTGGGGTGGAGAACGGACAATTGAGTGCGCTGGACGCAGCTGTTGCAGGTCCAGTTCCTGAGGAATGCTTCGTGACGCCGGAGGACGTTGAGCAGCACTGGGACGATGTGAATAGTGGATTTCTACCCCCAGATCGTGTCAGAGAAGCACGCCAACTGGAGCTGGCGTATCTTCGGAAGCAAGAGGTTTATGAGAAGGTGCCACTCGAGGAGTGTCTTCGAGATACCAACGGGAGAGGCCCAATAACCACCCGTTGGATAGACACGAACAAGGGAGATCCCACCAACCGGTCGAGATTGGTGGTCCGGGAAATTAAGGCCTGGAAGAGACCAGAGGAGAGAATCCCTCAGAACATGCTGTTCTCGTCAACGCCACCCTTGGAGGCGATGAGGCTCTTGCACCCGAGCCTAAGTAATCGAGTTTTCATGACCGCTTTCCTTGGGGCTGGGCTTGCGTTTAGGTTTGCGTTGCATTTACATAAGGTTTCAAGCATTTATATTTGTTTACACATTCGTTTTACATCTAACACATTTTTATTTGTTCATTTCCTGGACTATTCGGCCCCGGATTAACACTATTTGCGTGTCCAGGCCCTAGTGGAAGAGTTTTACCAGTGTATTCAATGTCCACCTTCTCCTTCATTCCCCTCCCCTTTCCCCTCCCCTTTCCCCTCCCCCATCCGTCGCTCAATCCCTTACCCCACCTAGGGCGCTACCTGCTCAAATCCCTCGCCTCAACAGGTCAATGTGCAGGTCCTGACTTGCGATCTGTTTTGACCTCAATAGTATGCGCAGCCGTGTCAGTGCGGAGAGTTGACATGTGCCTGCTGATTTGGCTTTCCCAACCTCACTAGACATTTCCCAAAGGGCCATGTGTTGCATGGACTGCGGATTTGGCGCATGTAGCTGAAAATCAGTTCCTCCTTCAATCCAAAAACAACGACAACGTGAATCCACAACCAGGTGTACATAGGTGACTGTTTGTTCGTAAAAATCATCCCCCAAATGTCAAAAGAAGAAAAACGTAAAACTGATTGATCCTTCATGTCAAGCCTTTGGCTGACGGAGCCCTTTTTGGAAAAATACAAATGTATACTATTTACTTTTGCATAATTTAGTAATAAAATTCATAGATGGATCAATTTATAAATTCTTGGAAAATAATATATATATATATATATGCACACACACATATGTCCAATAATATCAAACTTTTTTAAAAGGAACAAGACAATGCCGGACTTTGGAATATAATAAATAAAGACGGCCACCTCTAAAACATGGTTAATTTATCAAAAGTCACGGGGGAGGACGGCGCAGCCGCTTGGGGCAGCCAACGATGGTCTGCTTTATGCGACTGGCCATAAACAAATTGGTTGCTTTGCATGTGTGGCCTTGCATGAGGCAATGAGGAAATCCGGAGGATGCCTCACTTGGCCCCCTGATCTTCCTTCCATGGCCATATGTTTTGCGGACAGGTTTCCCAAAAGGTGATGACGTAACAGGAGACGTCTCACGACATTTGTGAGTGACATGGTTTGAATATTTTTTTGGAAACACATCGTGCAGGACGAGATTGCGTCCTGGGACTTCGAGGCTGCTGGCGCTCGGGCACAAAGCTTCGTGCAGCGACTGCGGCGCTGCGGCGTGGCCTGTGAGTTCGTGGACGACGGGGCGCGAGGCACCGGCGGGCTGGAGAAGCTGGACGAGTGGAAATCGCGAGCCAACGAGCAACTGAGAGACGTGAGGAAGCTCAAGGAATTCCTGGAAGGCGGGAGGGGAGACTTGCCAGCTTCAGCCACTTCCATAACTTATATATTCCTGTTCGGTGTGTTGGGGTGCTTGTGCGGGCGCGTCGCTTCCCCAGGCACTGGCGCTGCACGGCCGCAGCTCCAGCGCGGGGCCCTCTTCACGCATGCTGTGCAGGAGGGCTTGAGGGCCGCAGGCGCCAGGGTGCAGGTCGCGGACGGCGAGGCGGACCCGGTCTTGGCACTGCGGCTCAGCGATCCCAAGACGCTGGCGATCCTGGGGAACGACACTGACTTCGTGGCTGGGTCGGGTGAGGGCTGTTTTTTGATCCGTGGCTAACTGATGGGGAGCTTGTAGCTGATTGAAGCAATCCTGCATGAGCTCTGCTCAGATTCCCGCGTTTGACTCTTTCTCTTGAAAGGAACTCTGATTCATCCCATCGAGCGCACGCATCGTCCGTTGTTTTCCAATTGATATTTCGCCGCCCGGACACTGGATACTACCGAGGTGCTTATGAGGCACGGCAA